GCTTGTCTGATGGACCACAAAAAAGTTTAAGGCGAATTTTTTGTATCGTCAATATTCTTAAAGTTACAGGCGTATAAAGTCATCATTTTTGTATTATTAACTTTAAATTTAAAGCTCTTTAAAAAATCAAATATTGAAAATAGAAATTCAGCTTAATAAGATTTTTTTGTCCAAATTTAATGCTTTGTAAGAATTAGTCATGGATTTTATGAAAAAAAAATTTCTTCCTAGGTTGCAAGAATAAATAAGGTAAAAAAGTCAGTTTTCTGTGTTATTTAAGCGGCAAAACTTCAGATTCGATGGAGGACCTCTTAAAATTGAAATTATGAGCTCCGCTTTTAATAGAATATTTGTTCGGACATATTCAACGATATTTTGGGTTGAGACCAAGAAAAAAAAAATATCGAGGTTTTTTGGCACACCCTAATACATATATAATATATTATAATTTTAAGGGTTATAAACTTCATTACCGGCTTTGGCATAGTAATTTCCTTGTGCTCTGAAAACAATAATTTATAATTTTAATAGTTTTTTGGTAAGTATAGTTTTTGAAACATGATTACAGTTAAAAGGAGTATATGTGATCAAATTTAAATAGATACCTAATAAAATATTTTTGTTTGTAGGAACGCGTATTCGGCCGCAGTCAATATTCATTAATTAATGCCAAACACAAATTTTAAGTATAAAAAGTATCTAAAATTAATGTTTGTTTCTTTTGTCATTTGCAGATTTGGCCAAAAAGTACATAGACTTTTTATACTTAAAATTTGTGTTTGGCATTAATTCAGGAATATTGACCTATATGATATAGGTACTCCTTTTTGCAGCAAAATCTTCAATTCCACCTTCAACAAAATAAATTTATTTCTAAATAAGCGCATCCAAATTATTAAAAAAAACGACTTTGGATTTAGGAAAAAATTGCAAATGGTTTTTATCTAATAATAATAATCCTTTATTGAACTAAAACCAAGTTCAAAGGCTATTGACCGTAGTCCTTCAGCCGATTTTTTATCTATTATCTTATTAACTAAATAAAATGTATGTTTATAGCAACCACTCACAATATTGCTGTAGAGTAAAAAACTAAGTATTGCAAAATTATCCACCTACTTATTACTAATATAAAGTCTCGTTATAATATTTAAAAAAAAAATCATGCTATTGAAAATGTCTGCACCATTTTATTAAACAATATTTTCCCCGTAAACTATTTATTAAAATTTCATACAAAAATTCAAAGCCAGTACCGATACAGTCGGGCAGTCGAGCAGATAGATGTGTTCTCAAACGAACTCGATCGCTATTAAGTGTACCCAATAATAATAAGTCTGAAAAAACATATTTATTAAATACAGTGTAGTTTAAAGAATATACTCTGCGAAATTAGTGCAAACAGTAGTAAATCTTTGCACTAATTTCGCAGAGTATATGTAAAATCAGTTTACCTGTTGTTCAAAGTCTTAATAGAAACATTAAATTAGTGCATTAAAAACCCTCAACAAGTGAATATATTTAATAAAGACCATAAGGACACGGAAGTAAATAAGTGATAAGTGACAGCATACCTGGAGATCTAACCCCACGCCAATATGAATCACCTTATGTAAAGAACAAACGAGTCTAACCATCTGCAAAAATCCGATAAATACTAATTAATGACCTAATACGCAAATTCGCTATAAAACCTTATAATAATCAATAATTATTAATAAAAACAAAGTAACAGTGTAAATAAACCAATCATTAGGTAAGAACATCACAAAAAATAAATAATTATAAACTTAAGTTAATTAAGAGGCCATCCCCAACAAAATTAAAATGCTTTAAAATTTAACGAAACTTAAATAAACAACCAGTTTCGATATTTTCCAAACTTAAACATTTAAACAACTAAACACCTCTAAATTGTAGGCACTGTTAGACTATCTATCGATAGTTCTCGACCTCTACAATGAGGTTTTCGCACATGTGGGGCAGTTCAATTGCTAACAACAGTTTCCGAATTTTAGCAGACTACAAGTCTTGTACAAGACCAGCAAGGATAGGTCCTACCAGCCTACTAACCAACCAAACCTCATTCATGAACCCCAAATGAATGGGGGCATTACTAAATCCATGGTTGAGGGGGATTTCGGATTGTACTTAGTTTTGGGCCAGTCCAATATCACGCAAAAACCAAGATTTTTATATTTAAACCGCTATAAAATCACCGCTAAATTTTAAATAATTTTTAAAATAATTTCATTTTTACTTTACTTTAACAATTTTTGAATCATTTAAACCACTAAACCACTATTATTTTTTAATAAAGCCTTGGATACGAGATGTGTAAATGCATCCATAACAATCGATAGGTAATGAGAGGGCTTAATGGATACTCATTACGCCCTCAGAAAATAACAATATTTTTTTCAGTTTTATGTGAAGTGAAAAATAAAATCTTGTATACACCACTGGTATCTGGCTGGGTGTCGCTCTTCGGGCGTAATCATCTTAATAACACCCTTGGTCTATAAATAGCTGATAAAATCGCCAAATGAATTCAATTTTTTTACGGGATCAAGGTTATTACTACAAAAATTTGGTTTTAAAATTTCATAATGATATCTTTATTATTTTTTTTAAATAAATTTTGTCCACTTTTTAGCTTTTACATTCCACTAAGAGTTTTATTTTTTAAGCGTACAATAATTTTCATATTATAGGATTTATAAGTCTATATAGAATTACAGAAATAAAGCTAAAAGTTAAGCCTAACCTAAAAATTATGTGGCAAAATCTTAAGACATTATTTAATTAAGTGTTTAAAAAGTAAATAAAACACGGCAGCGAAAGATTATTAATTGCCTCGCACACAATCTGATATCTGAAATGTATGCTAGGCGATAATATTTGCTTTTTTCGCTGGGTCTAAAATGATGTGACAGAATTAAGAGATTATTTAATTAATTGTTTAAAAAATAGTATATAAAACACAGCAGCGAAACATTATTAATTGCCTCGCACATAATCTGAAATCTGACATGTAGGCTCGGCGATAATATTTGCTTTTTTCGCCTGGTCTAAAATGATGTGACAGAATTTTAAGAGATTATTTAATTATTGTTTAAAAAAAATAGTATATTTAACACGACAGCGAAAGATTATAATTATTAATTGCTTCGCACACATTCTGAAATCTGAAATGTATGCTCGGCGATAATATTTGTTTTTATCGCCTGGTCTATAATGTATCATGATCATTAACCCAAGACGTGAGCACAAAAAAGCTGAAACGGTTTCTGAATCTTAAGCGTCCAGACCTCCCAGTAGGTATTTGACAAAAATTATCAAAATCCGTGTGGAAAACAGGGCAAAATAGGCATTTGTTTATTAAACAATGATAAATAGCACCATAATAAAAGGGGTTATTGCCTATTGCATTAATGTTTTAACCTTTAAATTTTCATCATCAATTTACATTAATAGTTTACGGGATAATGATTTTTTAATCAAACCGTTTAAAAATATTCAATCGCACGTTGTAAATAAATAACTAGATTTTTTCAAACATTTTTATAACTTATAATAATAACTTTTAATTTTCCTTTCAACGTAAAAAATTGTAGGCTCATTTGGAAACATTTTCTAAGGAATCGAACTTATTCAACTTAACAATGGATCAGAAACTCCATTTCCTTTAAAATTATGTATGACGCAAGGTATAGGGTGCCATGTAAAATAAGGTGCGACATAAAATTTGTTTAACACTGGATTTGTCCCTTAATATCTAATTTTTGCTCAAGATCATAATTATTAAAACTTAAAAAATATTAAGGGTGGCTAGTTTTTAATTGAAAGCGTAAAAGATGTACGATAAATTAATTGTTTTTAAAAACTATTTTAGCAAAATAATAAGGCAATATTTTTTTTTAAATTAAGAATTATTAATTTTTTTTAATTAAGAGTTATTAACCCTTAACTGGTACGCTGGGGTCTTACGTGACCCCAAGCACCTAAAATCGTTTATATTTTTTCACTATTTGGCAACAAAGCCTTGACCGTCTCAGTAGCTGCAGGCTATACGATGATTTACTTTGTGCTTAAGAGCGGAACCAATCGCATCTTCCGTTTTTAAATTATTGATGTTTGGGGTCACCGTTGACCCCAGTATACTAGTTACGCGATTTTATAAGTTTGGAAATGACACACAAATATTTAACAGAACAAGAGTTAGAGGACTTAGCCATGAATCTAAGTGACATAGATGAACCTACGTTGCCTGTTGACTATTTTAGTGAGTCTGACGAGAACATTAGTGAAGCTCGAACTGAAAAAAGTGATCATGACTCTGTGTCTAAACTCAAATATTCTGAGGGGAAAATAATGATCAACGTCGGTTGAAAAGACCAAAATGTACCTTTTGTTCTCGAGCAAAATATCAAAAACATTTAAGAAGGTGCTTTAAATGCCTAAAGTTCGTATGCAAGAAGCATTTCACAAATAAAATGGGATGTACATCTTTCAAAGGCAATGAAACAGGGTAAGTTGTAAAGTACCTGTCAGTTTTGACATGTAAAATTAAAATACTGTTTTTTTTTTTGTTTTAGAGGATCCAGTAAAGATAAGACGAGACAAAAATATTGCTACAGTTTTTGTTTTGCACCTAATTTTATTTTTTTGATAAAGCCCATGTCAAAAAAATAACTTTTTGTTAAAGTTTTCTAAAGTAATAAAGTTTTCAAATTTTATTACTTTTTTATTCCTATGTCACTTTTTAATACCCAAAATTATATACACATAATTTAAAACTTGCAAATTTTCTACATTTTTCCTTAAAAAAAATGGGGTCAACCAAGCCCCCAGAATACCACTTAAGTTTTAAATTTCTTGCGTACCAGTCAAGGGTTAATTTAAATTAAGAATTATTAATCACAAATAGCATTTTTTTATATAAATCAATTCCAAGACAAATTTTCTTTTACAATTTATACGCTCTTATTGGCGGCCTTAAAAATAACATTACCCCTGCAATTTTGCAAATTCGAAAACTTGATTAAGGATAATTCGTATTGTGATTTTAAGAAGAATTCACCTTTGGGGTTGTCAATTTACGGACACTCTTATAGCTGCCTTAAAATTTAAAAAAACTTACGATTGAGTTACTTGATCACCAACATATTGAAGATCGTTATTGTTGCACAGCCCGTTTGCATATTCATCGTAACTCGTACAATTTAAGGCGGGAAACGCATTTGGATGATAAATAGCATATACAGCTACATGATAACTGTACGCATGACTACAAGAAACTGAAAAATAAACCTCGGTTAATTAATGAAGTTGAGAAATTAATAAAATCTTTAACCATATGTTATTATAGCAGTAGCTCCCCTAGCTATAACTTCTGGGACGGTACATCCCGGTTGAACAGCTAGATTATTGTTTATCCAGAAATCAACATGACCACAGGACTTGTCGTAACCCGACATTTGAGGATTCGTATGAATTACTATGACTAATTGTGCATCTGTTTCGTCAAGCCTCTTTTCTGGCGGATATGAATTATATTCATAACCGGAAGGGTCATAAGCTATAAAACTCAAAAATATGAATAAAGTTAAGATTAAATAAAAAGTACAATTTATTAAGATTTTTTTATAATTTTTTTTTAAAGATATTTCATCAATTTGGTAACAATCATACAAACCCATAATTTTTGCTGCTTTACCAGTTTTAATAGCAGCCCCAGCTATACCAATGGCTTGTCCTCCTAAACTGATACCGATGAGTTCCAAATCAGTCAATTTCAAACCTTTGGTTATCAAATAGTCTATGAACTCTGCTAATAATATGCCTATAGGATGTGCGTCAAAAGACAGTCCTGTATTACGGTTTAGAAATGTTAACAATTGGGACGTATCTACCAATATCATGTTGCAATCCTGAGTATATAAATAGGCTAAAAGCAAAGTTTTGTAATTTTGCTAAGGTAATCATTAAATAAATATTTAAGATATAGAAGAATTTGTTGAAAAGTTGCCTTAAAAATGGTGCCACCAGGTTCACAAGCCACGTTATTCTTGATTATCTTAAATTTTTACACTCGTTTATTTATTTTTAACTTTTCAAGATATACATAGGTACCCAAGGAAATTTTAATTTAACAAAGTGACAGTTTTCCATCGAGGAAATTTTATTTTGGACCTGAATCAGATTTAAATTAATTATTATTATGTATTACAAACAAAAATAACACCTATAAGGATACGGTTAATAAAAACAATTATTTTAAAAATATTAAAGAAATGAAAGAGCCTACCATAATGCTTAATAGTACACAGAAAAAATGCTAGCATAGCATGAATGGGTGAGCCATTAAACCAATGGGATCTTGTAATCCGTATTCCTGAATAACAGTTCCTATAATACCAATAGGTAGTTAGCAGTTGGTTTATAATCGTTTACTGTTTTTAAATTAACAAAAAAAGTTATCGATCTTAAATCTATTGATATTTATATTGATAATTATTTATTAGAATATTAAAATGTTATTGCATTAAATACTAATTTGATTTATTTAATAACGTTACTATTGTATGTATACTATGTATATATATATATATATATTTAACGCAATAAATTATTTGACATTTAGGCAAAATATTTCCCTATTTTGGTTTAATAGTAATTAATGGAGCAAATAACAATTTAGATTACTTCAATTTTAATGCATTCAATGACAGCGCTGTTCTTGGTTCTATGTTAGATTTTTTTCTGTGTAGCACCATTTTTCCAAAAGTTTAAACATAAAAATATTTAATTTAAATCAACCGAACATTAAGTTATAACGTGGTTAATATTTAAACTTTTTTGTCAGAAGGGACAATTTTTCATTCCTATGTCAATATAATTTTATATAGGTATTATATTTACCGTTTTTTACTTCTTGTGAGTCAGGATTTTCGTATGTACCCATAAATCCGGGAACGTACATTTTTGTTGGATTTGTAAAATTAATGTATGAACCACTTAACACATTATCATTGTTTAAAAAAAGTTGTGTGGGATTTTCTAAATTATTTCTAAAAAATAGTTTAAATTATCTTCTAAATATTGCTATAGCTTATTTTACCTTGTATATAAATAATAATGCACTGCAGCTTCTTCTGTACATAAGATGGGAACTGAAATTTTAATTAACGTAATTTATTATGTAGTTTTATAAACGGCATTTAAGTCACGAGTTTATTTATGCACGAGCGTTGCTTACGATTCGAGTTTTAGTAAATGTTAGCTTAAAGAATTGAATATGTTACTTTGCCTTCGACGAATTCAAAGAAATGTTTTTTTTTAAACCAATTTTATTTGACATTTTATCCAACATCTGAGGGTTTTAACCAATAGACAAGGGATAGGTTGGGTGGGCGGGGGGTTTTAACAATTTTTCCCAATATTAACTTAAATCACATTGATCTTATTTGTTTTCCCACACAGCACAAATATCCATTGGACGTCCAGCGGACGGCCATTGTACATCCAAACGTCCAATGTAAGTCCATTTGACGTCCACTGGACATCTTCTGCTGTATGGGTTATTTCCGTATAATCCCAGCAAACGCAAACGTCCTCAGGACGTTCTTGGACCAGCCTTATGTCCCAGAATGGGATGATCCTATAAGGATGTTCAGAGGAAGTCCATAGGTAGACCTTTGGGATATCCTGGGGATGTCCGACGGACATTGTCCGTAGACCAGCCCTAATATCCCAGAATTGGATGAAAATATTAATTAATTAAAAATCTTAAGTTTATCTACTAAATAGGTAAAATGGTCAATATTAAAATCCTAAAAACAAATATAGGTAGTTGCAATATCTCTCACCGCTGCAGCTTGATAAGTATATATACTAGGGTGCTTCGTTTGAGACGACTATTTTTTTTTCTCACTCCATTGACGAAATATTGTTCTAAACATATAAAAAAAAATTCCCACTAAAGGAGAGCTCTTAATTTTAATTTTAAGTACTCGCTAAATGAATTTAAAGTTTTCCCATTTAATTAACCCGTAAAAATATTTTTTTGCTTAAATTGTGTATGGCTTGGAGAGGGATCATTCCTCTTTAAAAGCTTTTACAGCTAATTTCCAACTTTTGAATTATATTGCCAGTAAAAAATTGTGTAGTTGGTTTTTGCTTAAAAATCGGGATTTTTCAACTTTTTCTCCTAAACTATAGTCTTGACACCAAAATCTTTTGGAGGGATGTTTTTTCTATGTTTAGAATATTATTTCGTCAATGGAGTGAGAAACGAATCACCCTAATATACGAGCCCTGTCTCAGTGAAGTTGGCCCAACCACTCAAAATATAAAATTTGTAATTTTATGCGATGAAAAGCCAACAATTTTTTATCATATGTAATTCTTGGTCAATCTTCATGTTGTAAAATTTTTTTAAAAATATGTGTATGTATATTATTTAGTTTTAAGTTGGATGTTTGGTTACAATACAAAAAAATCGACAAAAATGCATTAACTTGGATGGCCAGATTTTTTAATGCAAGTCGGCTGTGCTAAAAGTAAAGATAATATTTGACATTTAAATAATTGTAAGCAAGTCGGTAGTGACATTCCAGTATATATTTATGCTTTCGGTGTGGTTGACAAATAATAATGTCCCGAGGAAAAGCTGTTTCTGAAGAAATAAGAAAAGTGATAATTCACTTGCATTTAAAAAGAAAATCCGCTGCACAAATCGCTGAAACTGTTAATTTGTCACGATATACAGTGCGAAATATTATTAAACTGCACAAAACTACAGGATCTGTGGCGCAGAAACCAAAAAATGGAAGTCGTCCTCATTATTCTGATAAAAATTTAAGGGCTTTAAGAAGAATTATCGTTCAAAATCGTAGGGCTAATTACGGTGAATTAAAAGTTTTGTGGAATCAGGCAACGAGTAAATGTTTTTCAAGAGCAACCTGTCATAGAGCTGCTCAAAACTTGGGTTTAAAACTTACAAGGTTTGCTTATAATGTATACGATTTTTATTTAATTTTAATTTTACTATCTGTATACTATAGGCAAAGGAAAAACCTTTATTGACAAAAAACAGAAGAAAAATAGACTTCTCTGGGCAAAAGAGCACAGGACTTGGTGCAAAATCAATGGGATTCAATTATATGGAGTGACGAAGCTAGATTTGAAGTTTGCGTTGGTGATAATCGAAGCCGAGTCATTAGAACTAAAGCAGAAGTCTTTCACAATGACTGTCTTAAGAAAAAAGTAAAGTTTCCGGCCTCTGTGATGATTTGGGGATCTTTGTCAGCTAAAGGGATTGGTAAATTACACTTTGTAGAGGGCATTATGAATGCTGATAAATTTATTTACGTCCTAAAAAAAATAACTTAAAACCGCAAATTGAAGAAATGCGTTTAAATGATATTGAATGCATCTTCCAACAAGATGGTGCAGCGTGCCATACGGCTAAAAAAGTGAAAGCTTGGATGATGGAAAATAATATTTCACTTTTAAAATGGACATCTAGTAGTCCAGATCTTTCGCCTATAGAAACTTTGTGGCATATTATGAAAAAGAAACTCAGAGAACAGCCCGCAAATACCGTCTTAGAGTTGCGTGCTCGCCTGCAAGAAATTTGGAATAATTTAACGCCGGATGATTGTCAAAAATTGGTTGACACCATGCCGAGACGTATACAGGCAGTAATAAGCCATAAAGGAGATGTTACGCAGTGGTAGTTTCCAATTAAAATGTATTTATTTAAAATATTTTTTTTTTAATTTTTGGTTTACGGACAATATAAGAGAATTTTAAATATTTTTTTATTAGGTACTTAAAAATACAATTTAAGGTAGAAAATTTAATAAACGTTATTTATTTAATTAAAACAATGTGTTAATTTTAATTAATTACCGTATAATATTCTAAATATCTTCAAAAAACTATTTTTGTTAGTTGGGCCAACTTCACTGAGACAGGGCTCGTATAGGTACCGATAGATATTTGATTGTTTCGACCTTTACTTGATGAAACTCCTTATTATTATTATTATGTAGATATAAAAACTAGTATGTTTTTTAAGTTTCACGTGATTTATTTATTTTTGACAATTATTTCGTCACACAGTGACGTTAATCTTGTGCCATTAAGGTAACGTTAAATGTTATAAGTACGTGAACGTTTCATATGACGACGTATAGATAACAACACAGAAGTTCTGTGCAGAACATAACCTCAAAGCGCAGTCTCTCGTTAGTGTGCAGTGAAATTTTTACTAAAATAAGTAATGGGAAGTGCAAATTGCACTGTGCAATCAGTGTTATTGGTTTGTGTGATTCAAATGCACATTGTGTGGGCATTTTGGTAGGTAAGTGCCTATAGGCATATATATATACCTAGGTATGTATTTTTATATTAAAAACTATTGTTAACACTTTGCCGGCTCGTGCAGTCAGTAGCATAAAAAAATGGCGATGGCGTCTCAATCTCAATTAATTTGTGGTGTTAATAATAACACTAGTTTACAAAATCGTAAAAAAATTCTGCCCACCATATCCCATTATAATTTTCTTATGTATTTTGACCCACTAAACACGAAAATCACACTCAATTTTTTTTGTATGGAAGCGTTTTTGAAATATGAATTTTTAATTGTTTATTGTTCAATTTTCGGAGGTGTTTTGACGTTTTTGAGTATAGCTTGAAATATAAACAAGCTCTTAAATTAAAGGTATTTGAGCTCTCTAAAACTTTCTTTTACATACTTTTGAGATCGGGTAAGTATTTTGAGGTCGAAAATTTACATATGCTCCTGGGAAAGGTTTCAATCAAACACATAACTCCAGTTTGAATTTTTTTACAAAAAAAAAACAAGCTAATGTTGATAAAAATACATGGAAAAATGGCGAAGTTATGAATTTTTTAAATTCAGCTTTTTGGCGATATTTTTTTTATTTTTTTATTATATTTTGTGATATGTTGATTCTTTAATGAAAACCTAAATAAAGTGAATAATTGGATTTTTTGAGTTTTTTGCGTACTTTTTTCACCGAAAACATTATTCAAAATTTAAATTTGACTTGACTCCGCAAACGTGAATTCTTTTCTTTCTCGTGTTGGCATAGTGACATTTTACTGATATTTTTTGATATTTCAACAAGGTATTTTTATCATGGTTTTATTTAGGTAACAAAAATGTAAAATTAGTAGAAGTAGAGAGTTCGGGTGCCTAAATAACCTGCACAATCTGGACGATGTAAGTGATGAGCACGGAGAACGTTTTCACCAGTAAATGAAGGCTATGGAGCCATGATGGGATGGTCCTCATACGAGAAACGGAATACGAAAGCAAAAAAAAAATAAAGAAGAAGCCAGAATTTTTTTAAACCTATGCTTATTACAACAAAATAAAATTTTCAATTTCTTGAATGTTCAATATTAAATATTTTTATTTTAAAAATAAAATAAAAAAAGTAAAATTAAATTAAATTAATTAATTAAAGTAAAATGTCACTATGCCAACACGAGAAAGAAAAGAATAAATTTTATTGTTTAATATTCAATATATAATTTAATTTCAATATATAATTTAATTTCAATATTTAATGTTTGAAAGAAAAGAATAAATTTTATTGTTTAATATTCAATATATAATTTAATTTCAATATTTAATGTTTGAAATAAAAATCAATGGTCAATATTAAATTTTATATAAATCAATAAAATGAAGAAAAAACGTAAAAATTCTCGAAAAACTGAATTTTGGTCTTCCACTGAAAAATTCTTCGCCATTTATCCATGGATTTTTGTAAACAGCAGCTTATTTTTTTCCTTTAAGTATAATATATACGTAAAATAAATTAAACTGGAATTATCTTTTCGATTTTTATCTTTTCCAGAAAGAAATGTAAATTTTCGACCTCGATTTTTGTAAAAAAAGGACTTTTTCAACTTCATAAAATCGCCACTATCGAACTACTGAGCCGATACCAAAACTATACAAGAGAAAGTTGTAGAGGCCTCAATTAATTACCTTTGATTTAAGTACTTGTTTGGTCAAATCGATCAATTAGAACTCGAAGAATACTCTAAAACGTCAAAACACTTTAGAAAATTAAAAAAAAAAAACAATTGAAAATTCATATCTCGAAAACGCTTTCATAAAAAAAAATTAAGTATGATTTTCGCGTTTAGTGAGCCGAACTACACAAGAAAATCATAGTGAGACATGGTGGGCAAAATGGCTGTAAACTAGTGTTATCTTTGAATTAACCTTAATTTGATATTTATATTCATATATATTTACAAACATTTATATTCGCGAATTTGAATATTTCATTCTTTATATTAACGGCATAGGTATTTTTTCATAAAAAACACTGGCGTTACTAGATGGGCGTAATCATCATAATAACACCCTTGGTGCATAAACAGCTAAAAATGTACCATTTTTCTATAGACTAAATATTATTACTTTGGTACCGGGTCTATAATATGCAAAAACAATGTTTTCTTTTATTAAATATTGAGGATCCATTTTTCAAACGCAGTATTTAAATTATTGTCCACTATAGTGTAATGCTTATACCTACGCCTTGGTAATGCTGCATTACATGCTTCAAAGGTAGCTGAATTTAATGTGTCATAGCCATAGCGATTTATTTAAATTATGCCTTTGACATGATATAAATATATATCCATACCCTAGAGTCAAACTGTATTAAGTC